AAGTTGGAGATGGGATTATACAGGTTCTCATTGACCCTTTATAGGCATTATATTTTGTAAAATATGAGTTTAATTTAACCATTATAGGTTCTCATATTCTCCTGAGATTTAGTTTATGTTTAGCATCTACCTTTCATGTTATGCCAGGTCTTCCAGTTTTGCCTCATAATACATATTTTCATTTTGTACTTTGCTTCAATTTCTAGATGTACCTTTTATTCTTTCTGTAGGTTCTGTTAATGATTTATTCATTTTGCGTAACGTCCTCATTTAGCTATTTACAGGAATTGATGTCTTTAAGTGTTAATTCTTTCCTTCTGCCTACCCGTCCCCCCTCTTTCCCTTCCCTACCGCTTTGCTCATACCCTTGCCCTTCCCCCTTCATTTTTTTCTCTTCTAACCAGTAATTGAGGCATTCTCTCCTTTGCCCATAATCTTTCTAATGTATACATAATTATTGGTATTCTTCCGTACTGTGATTACCTCTACCTTCCTTTTTGGTTTCAAACCAGGATTTTTTTATTGAAATTACCAGTTCCCATGCCTTTTGTTCACTTACTCATCTACCTTTCTCAACTAGTTATTTTTTTCCAACACTTTATTATACACATTTTGCAACTTACAGAAAAGTTGAAAAGAGTTCTACTTGAACACTCGTGTACTTACTACTTGAATTCCACTGTTAATATTTTACTGTACTTGGGGCTCCTGGGTGGCTCAGTGGGTTAAGTGTCTGCCTTTGGCTCAGGTCACGATCCCATCCCGCATGGGGCTCCTTGCTCAGTGGGGAGCCTGCTTCTCCTCAGCCTGCTGCTCTTCCTGCTTGTGCTCTCTCTCTGTCAAATAAATAAAGAAAATTAAAAAAAAATAATAAAAAAAGATATGCACAGATCTTAAGTGTACCATTTAATGATTTCTGTCTTCTGAGTCACTTGTGTTCTCATGAGAGAACTAACTCCCATTATAAGGCCACACTTCTAAAACTTGTATATATTCATTTGGATTTTCAAAAATAGACTTTGAATGCCACAAAATACCTTAAAAATTTCTTCTTTTTAATTTTTTATTATGTAAATGTGCTACATAGTATAATGATTATAGTTAAAGGTATGTTTATTTTTTTTTTTTAGATTTTTCCATGCTTCAGCAAATATTCTTAGCATTGCTAATGATAATCATGCTGGAGAAAGTAACTTGAGGATGTTTTAGTTCAGTTAAAAGTATGAGAATGTAGGGCGCCTGGGTGGCTCAGTCGTTAAGCGTCTGCCTTCGGCTCAGGTCATGATCCTGGAGTCCCTGGATCGAGTCCCACATCGGGCTCCCTGCTCGGCAGGGAGTCTGCTTCTCCCTCTGACCCTCCCCCCTCTCATGTGCTCTCTCTCTCTCAAATAAATAAATAAAATCTTTAAAAAAAAAAAAGTATGAGAATGTAAAGAAAGGCCATGATTGCCCTTTTGTCCACTTTATAAGCTGAATGTGTAAAAGGTAGTTAATTCAAGGCACTTGAAACATTTATGGAGTGCTTTCTAAGTTTATTGGGTGCTTGTGTTTACCTGAACTCACTTGAGCTCCCATTAACCATGTTGGATAGGCAGACAGTTGTGTCTGCTCTGTAAGTGAAGAAACCAAGCCTCAGGTAGGGGAAAGGGCAGTGCAGCAGTTGAACTCAGATCCTCTCACTTTAATTTTAGTCCAGTGGCAACAGCTGCAGTCCCACTCAGTCTTTAGTTCAAGTGCCATTCCAGATACTGCGATTTGCTGATGAATGAAGACCAAATGTTTTAGTGCATAGACTAGTGTTAACTGTATTGACGACTCTGATGCAGAGGCCTATGCCAATATTTTGAGTTCCCCCATGATGAAATATTCAGATATAGAGAACTAACTGCAACTATTGGGATCCAGACAGAACTCTCTAAGTGTGCTATATTTAGAATGTGACATACGTTATTACATACCCATTCTGTTCTCACAAGAGTGAACAATATCATGATTGAAGTGCCACTTAATGTGGCAAAGTGCCTATTTTTCAGAAACGTATTATGTGAGAAGCTCATTGGAGAAAAGAAAGCCTTGTTGATATGGTGGAAGGTTTCTATTTCACAATATCCTTGAAGGTACTTCCCTTCTTTCCCTTAGGTAGACAGATCCTTAATGACAAACCATCTGGAGAAAATCAGCTTGACATTGTCTGGGTAATGGACTTGACAGAATGTGGGCAGTTTTGTTTTTGTCAGTGGATGTAAAGGTTTAGCTCTTAGTTTGGTCAATACCACCAAGGAAAAGCTGGAAGAGATTAACACGGCTCTTGAAGAAAAGTATTCTTTTTTTTCTTGAGGAAACCTCTTTGCGATAGTAATTTACTGAAAGTCCTTTAGGATCAGAAACTGGAAATAATCTATTTGAGATTACCTTTTGAGTCTATATCCTTATTTTTGTCATTTTGAAGATAGATTGCCTAGGAGCCAAAAACCTTTTACTTTTTCTAATATTAGTAAGGATGTCTGCCTAAGAATACAAATCATGTAATTCTTTCAAAAACATTGGATTGTTTTTTGACATAGGTAATGGTTGATCTGCCTCATGTGCACCTGAAAAAGGTGACAGGACCTGGCCAATGAGTAGTGTAAACCCCTAGATATTCTCTGTGGATAGGACAAGAAGGACAAGGAAGACAGGAGGTTGTCCCATTTCCTGCTTATCCTGTGCCTCTCTCTCTTTTCTTGTCATCTTTCTCTCAGGGCTGGCTATCCTGGAGCCTGTTGAAACAGTTTTGTTTTGAGGTGTCTTTAAGGAAAGATAATTCTTTGTAAATCTGTGTGCTAGAAGTATCCTGAGGTTTAAGGCAGTGTTCTTGAGAAAGAAGGAAATGGATTATGGAAAAAGAGGAGACAGAAATCCATTCAAAAGAGTGCCACCAGGAGTGGCTTCAGATAGTGTGTCTCAGCAGTGTACCATATGGTGCCTAATTTGGGTGTGATCCACTTTGGGGCCACTTTATTCTTTGAGTCTTGGATCTGGATTGATTGATTGATTGATGCATCTCTCTTCTCCCCAATGTTATTGGAATGTTAGAAAATCAAGAAGAAGAAAAAGTGCAGCCATAATTCTTTGCTCCTAATGAAACCACTGTTAAACTTTTGATAAAATCTTTATTTCTTCTTCTATAATTGTTATTATGTTCCTGGAATTAGAAAAAGGCCTCTTTTTGTTTCCTGTCTTTGTGAAATGTCTTTGAATGTGTCCTTGGAAGGCCGGCTGAAGGACAAATATTGGGTGATATTACTGTGCATCAGTTAAATTGTCACTCCAGTCTTTGAAAAGTACTACATGCTGCTTTTTTCTCAGTAGGTGACTAATACTTGTACATCGTTACTATTAAGTGTATGATCTTTTTAAAGTGATGCTGAGGGTGAGGATGATGGAAGACTTCTGAAAAAACAACACTGAGCTTTTCAGAAATTGTCCTGATTTGTGGCTGGGACTTCTCAGCTGCTGCTTTCAGATATAACATTCCTTCTCTTTGTTTCCATTTGAAGGAGTCCTTTCTTATCATATCCAGATAGATTTTCTATGGCAGAGTGATGAACTATCATCAGTCTTCATTCTGATTGACAAACATAGCATGCCAGCTATGGGGAATAAAAAATGGTGTCAGATAAGAGGGGAATGGCCTGAATTTTCATTGGAGAAGACTTTCTTTGGAAGAGTGAATTGATGAAGTGGTTCTGTTTTATTTTGCCTGAAACAAGTAAATTCCAACACATTAAAGTCACTTGGAGTTTTAATAGAGTTCATTCTACTGGGGCAAACTTACTTGAAAATTCCTTTGTGACTCACGGTGTAATGAAATTTCACCAGTTTATTTTGTTAAAGCTAGGAAAAAAAATTTAAGTTAATGGGTATTTTGCTAAATGAGCTGTACTCAGGAATGTGTATAGGAGAGAGGTCATGCAAGTGCATTTTCTTATGGGAATCTTTAATTTCAAATACCATGTGTTTGGAAGGCCAGATGATCTTTACTATCCTTATTATTAAATCCTGGCAGATGAATTTTTCTTCTCTTTTTTTGTAAAAATGGGTCTGTTTCATAATAACGGCAACAATAATAGATCCATAGATATATTCTTAGTCGTTGGCCTACATCAGTTTTGTTTGTCACCGTATCTTTGGCACTTTCCACAGTACCTGGTGGTAACAGGCACTCAGACATTGTTGCATGGACAGTGTTGGTAATTGTTAATTGCGGAATAATAAATCTTCATTTGTTCTTTTATGTGGTAATAGTTTAATTGGAATTGTTTTTTAAATTACACTAAAAAACCAACTTATCTTTGTAAGTTTAAGGTTCTGTATTAAAATTTCTTGAATATGTTCTTTCAAAGCTTTAGAATGGATGACTTTGCTGAAATGTTTTTTGCTCTGGGATGGAAATAAGTTTTAGAAATAGCTGTAGTAATTTTAAACTGTTAAGTAGAATTACTGTTGACTGCAGTTTTCTGAGGCTAATGTTACAACACATTCTTTTTTTTTTTAGACTTTTTATTTATTTGAGAGAGAGAGAGCGCGTGCGTCCATGAGAGCATGCGAGCAGGGGTAGGGGGTGGGGGTGGTTAGGGGGGTTAGACAGGGGGAAGGAATCTCCAGCAGACTCCTTGCCAAGCCTGTAGCCCGAGGCCGGGCTCGATCTCACAGCCCTGAGCTGAAATCAAGATTCAGCGGCTCAACTGACTGAGCCACCCAGGTGCCCCTACAACACATTCTTATAGGTTGCTGTCCATGGGTAGCATGGTAAAAAAGAATTGGGAGGTTTAATAATTAGTATAAATTTAAATATTCTGAAATTTGTTGGAATAATTTTATACTGAGGAAAATGTATTTGGTGACTGATTTATATGTAAATACATAAATAAAATTTTTCTAAAAGTGAATGTATTAAGGAGCTTTAAAATGGTACAAAGAGAAACATCCTAAGTTAATTCTGTTTCTGTTTATTTCAGGGCCGAAAATAGTGAAATCACGTTTCACGGTTAAAAAACTATTAAGAAGGCAATATGGGGACTCCTGGTTCTGGAAGGAAAAGGACACCTGTAAAAGACCGATTTTCTGCAGAAGATGAAGCTTTGAGTAACATTGCCAGAGAGGTGTGTCTGGAAAACCCCCTCTCAACGTTGAGTTGCACAGTTGGGAACGTTGTGAGAATGTTGGGGGGAGATAGACTTTCATTCACTGAGCTGGTTTCAGAATGCTTACTGTGAATAAGATGTTATATATGGTCTCTAAATACTGTATTAGAATAGAATATAGTTACCATCTCTTTATTTGGATATCTGTTTCTCTTATCTAAAATTTTTCATTTTTTGTGGATTACTTTGAGGTACCTGTAATGTTTTGAAATTTATAATGAATCTTCAGTATTGAAACTTAAGGTAATTAGAATGTGGAAAATATGATAACTATATTATAGAAACACTCGTAGGTCATACAGTTAACATATTCCAGGAGGCACTGTATAAATGTTGACAGAAACAGTCTTTATTTGGTATCTGCCCAGATTCAGTTGTTTTAGCTGTTTTTTGAAATACTGCAGTGGAATTTTTATGTTTAACTTTCAGCTAGTACCAGAGCTTCTGGAGCATTTTTGTTTCAGTTTGTTGACAACTCAGAAGAAAGAAAAAAATGGAAAGGGTTGTCACCTATTGAATCACTGGCAACATTTCCTGTTGCATATTGGAAATTTAAGATAACTCCCAGCTGTGATTTCTTATTGAGGTGCCAACTTTGTTTCAGACTCTGCCTCTATCTGCATCTGTAGACCTGACCATAAATTAATCTGGTACAAGAATTGGTTAGAGCATTATTAAATTATATTCTTTTTGTGAGGATTAGTCCCTCACCACTTCCTCTTTGTTATTCTTAGTAAATAGATCATTTAGGACTAGTGCTATTTCCTTTTGACATATTATACAGTCTCTTTTTGACCCAGCTCATTGTTACATTTTTTTCCTCTGGTAAGCTACTCCGTTAGCTTTTGAATTAGAAGTCAAATTCCATAGAGGGATGTTTGAAGCAAAGAAAAGTTGTCTAAAAACTGTTGGCAAGCTTGTGATACTTTAACAAAATCACTTTTAAAAAATCAAGCGAGATATTTTCAGATAAAGGGGTAAAAGATTCTTTAAAATGAAGTGAAAATGAGATACAAGGATTTTAAGTATTTGCACAAATGAAGCATTTTGGAAGCCACATAGTTTTATTTGAAAATTGAAACTACTCAAAATTTTTACTTCCCAAATTGAGGGATTTACCCAGATTTCTATAAGGAGAGAAAATGTTGGCACCTTCTAGGCTTTATTGTACTGTCACTAAATATTTGAACTCTTTTTTTTGGATCTATGATGCTTTGTTCGCAAAGTGGATGCATTCTAAACATTTAACACTTGAGTGCTTTCTATGTGACAGACACTTCTATGCATTTAAGTTGCATTAATTCATTTAATCTTTTTTTTTTTTTAAGATTTTATTTATTTGACAGAGAGAGACACAGTGAGAGAGGGAACACAAGCAGGGGGAGTGGGAGAGGGAGAAGCAGACTTCCCGCGGAGCAGGGAGCCGGACGCGGGGCTCAATCCCAGGACTCTGGGATCATGACCTGAGCCGAAGGCAGACGCTTACCGACTGAGCCACCCAGGCGCCCCTAATTCATTTAATCTTCACAAAATTCTGAGATTGGTTTTATTATCTCCAATTTAACGAAGAAACCTTTGCACAGAAGAGTTAAAGTATCTTTCCTAAGGTCACACAGCCAGAAAATAGCAGAGCTTGGGTTCAAACACGTGAAGTCTGGCTCTAAGGTCTGAGCATTTAACTACTTGCTGTGTTGTGCTGTTTCTCAGTATTCTCCAACTCCCCCATTAATAGTTTCTTTTTTGGTAACTATTCATGATTTTGAAGGTGCTTGCACATCTTGATTCTCACAACAACCTTGTGAGTTAGGAAGGATAGATATTATTAACCTTACTTACAGATGAGGAAACAGACAAAACTGAGAGATAAAAGTCTAAAGATACCAGAGCTGAGGCTCAAAATCAGCTACTTAAAGCCATTGTTTATTCTACTGTACCGTACTGCTTCTAGAAGAGACAGGCTTTGGAGAGTTCTAAGTGTGGCTTTGAATCCTGCCTCTACTAGTTGCTTCTTGAGTAATTTTGTTAAGTAACTACTATGGACTTCAGTTTCCTCATCTGTAAAATGGGAATAATATTGTCTTCCTGTATTACAGGGCTGTTGTGATGATTAAAGGACACAAAGCATGTAAACCTTTATCATAGTGTTAGATTTGCAGTGGGCTATTTTGTTGCCTAGTAATAAGTCAGAATTAAAAGTGAGACTAGAGGTAAAGTCGTCTTTTTTAAAAAAGAAATTTATTAAGATAGGTGTTCTAAAGCATGGTTGATCACTAGACTCCCTCAGGGAACTTTTTTTAGTGTACAGAGTCCCAGGCTTTACTTGTACTTGCTAAATCAGAATCTGTGGGGGTTGAGCCCAGAAACCTGTATTTAAGTGCGTATGCGCCCATGCATGCACACATACACACAGACACACACTTTTCTTCCTGGGGGATCTTGATGGCCATTCAGATTTGGGAACCATGAACCAAAATGCGGAGAAGAAAACAACAACAACAACAAAAACAAAAACAAAAAAACCCAAAACAAAATACAGAGAAGATCCTATCCTGGATGGTCTGTTTTTTATACCTACAGGTTGTTTTCCTCCCTGTACGTTATTATTTTGCTATGAAATAACTTAGTTTAATACAGTTATTAAGTAAGTTATTGTATAATAATAAAAATTATTATTATAAAAGGATTTAAAAGGCCAGTATTTTTAGTTTTTATTTCTATTTTCAGAGCTCTGAATATGAATGTGCCGACTCTTAATAACCTGGTCAAAAGGCTCAGCTTAACCTTCAATATGAAAGGGTCAGTTTCTATTAAGATTCAAGATTTTTATTTGTATGAGTGCCTAATGTGTGATGTAGAGTTTGAAAACTTTAGAGGAACTAGGTTTAGCAGTTTTAATAATTCCTTCATATATTTCTTGTGATTCTTTTTTTTCCTTTAAAGTTTTCATAGCTAATTCTCAGTTGTGCATTCATACATTACATGGTTGACATTTGCAGATCACCCCAATCCTTATTTTCTCCCATATGATCATCCCTTTCACAAAAAACCTGCCTGAAACCAGAATGAACCCCCTTAATGATTATAAAGGACAAGTAGCTTAATACCCCCTTTTTAATTGTTAAATCTCAACAGTTTAATTTGTCTTTTTTCACTTCAAATTGTTTTTTGAGATAGGGAATGCCACAAATAAAGAAAAATAACCTCTTTTTCCTCTTGCATACTATTTGCTCAGGTTTCCTTGCTCCTCAGTTGGCCACAAGTCAGGGAACTAGAGGGAATGAGGAGGAAAAGAAAGAAAAGGCATAAACATATTCTGCAAACTGGATAATTTGCATGCTAAAATATGGAACTGAGTACATTGTGGTAAAACATACATAACATAAAACTTATCTTACCCATTTTTACGAGTATAGGATTCTGTGGCCTTAAGTACATTCACATTGTTGTGCAACCATTATCACCACCCATCTACAGAAGTCTTCATTTTGTAAGACCTGTGTACATTCTAAAAAGATGTTTGGATGTTTGAAGACTGCTCTGATGAAGTCAGGAATGTGGATGGATTTAGAAGCCCCGTCCTGTCTATAGTAGGCATGTTGCTGCTCTATGCAGGGAGCATGGGCTGTCATAGCTCTTTGAAGAGCTCAGAGGAGCAGTGTCAGAAGGGGTCACCAGCAAGTCCTCTCGGGTGTCAGAGGACCAATTCACATGCTTTTTTTTTCCTTTTTTCCCTTGCTTGTTTGGCTTTGATTGTTCCACAGGTTTGGGGGAAATGCAATTAGAGAGTTGACTTTAAGTGAAAACTTACCTGAAAGCACAGAGTGTATCAAACTGGGAACCCTTAGGCAGCTAGCTCTCCAAAGGAGAAAGATGAGGGTAGCATGGAAGCTACTTATGCCCCCTTACTGCAGTTAGTTTGGCAAATATTATGGTGAGTGTTCCCAGGAAAAGAAATTAAGCCTTTTGAAGGGATAGCAAACAGTCTTCTTAAGGCATCACAGAAGCCTGGAATATAACTGTTCTCCTTGTTTTAGAGCTGCAGATACGAAGAAAACATGTTCCATGCACATCTCTCCAAATGGAAGTTATCAGAATGTTGCTTATTTTTGGACCTTATGATCTAAAAGTCCTTTTAGCTCTAAAATTCTTTGAGTTTCCTTGAGATCCAGGACCCAAAGAGATTCATGCTCATAATGCGCCGTTCTCTGAGATCTAAAGGATCAATGACAAGCATAGAAATTGATAATCTTTTATAGGAGTTAGAGTTTAGCAAATGGAGTGTTCACAGACTGTTGTTGTTGAGCAGAATGTACATGTAGATATTGGGTGCATACACCTACTTGTAATAAAGAAGAAAGGAAGCTTTTATGGCTTTTTGACATTTGTGGCTGCTAGGACTTTCAGATTTCATTTTTTTAAAAAAAGATTTATTTGTTGAGAGTGAGTGCATGAGTGGGGGGAGGGGCAGAGGAGAGGGAGAGAGAGAGAATCCTCAAGTAGACTGATGTCATGGAGCCTGATATTATGACCTGAGCCAAAATCAAGAGTTGGACACTTTGAGCCACCCAGGCACCCCCAGATTTCATTTTTCAAAATAGCTTTATTGAGATATATTTCATCCACTTGGAATGTATAATTCAATGGTTTTTGGTATTTTACAGTATTGATTTTTTTTAAAGTTGTGATTATAACGTATAACAAAATTTGCCATTTTAACTATTTGCAGACTACAATTCAGTGGCATTCATTGCATTTACAGTGTTGTGTAACCATCACCACTGTCTATTTCTAAAACCTTTTCATTACCCCAGAGAGAAACTCTGTATCCATTAAGTAATAACTCCCCATTCCCCTTCTTCCAGATCCTGGTAAACCTTTAATAAACTTTATGTCTCTATGAATTTGTCTAATTCTGAATATTCCATATAAGTGGAATTATACAGTATTTTTCCTTTTGT